TACTAATAATGTACTAATGTGGCTTCTAGCATTGCTCAATCGTTATAATCAAATAAATTGATTTAATATTGTCAGGTTCGAACTTTATGATGAGATCATGGAATTCATTGATAATCAAATATTCCGTAATTTTAAACATGTATGGAGCACCTGGAAAGACATTCCTGAAGAAACTCGTCTTGGTTGGATGAATGAATTCCTGGTAAGTTATGTATATCTCGTTAATGCTAATGTTTTATCACAAAAATGTATACTAACTACACATTTGTCACCAATTTGTGTGCTAATCGAAAAAATTGGCAATTTACAAAATCATTATAGGTGGTTGCCCAAGGATCGCCATAACTTGGCAAGAGCTTGGCATCACAGAGCCACCACAATGTTCGCAGATAAAATGCATAAAGTAAGATATAACATCTGCAAAAATGCATGGTGTAGTGAATCATTCAAAATCCAATTGAAAGAAAAATAGAAAAATTGTCCTAAGTTTCAAAAGAGATCTGCTCAAAATAAGGAAAATAGGGCCAAGCAGGACACACCCACATATGCTGGAGGGTCGATTCCAATCAGCAAGCATTGACAAAAGATAGTAAGTATAAATTGTTTTCTAGTTCGGTATTCAACAATTCGTACTTGCAACTAATGAATTAATGATTTTCATTTGTATTTCCAGAAGGCTTCTGGAGAAGTGCCGCCTGAAAAGGTTGATTGGGCTACCTTCGAGCGAACTCATTCCCAGCAGCCTGAAGCTGGTCAAAGGCGATGGTTAGGCCCCGGAGCGGAGCTAATAGCGGTTTGATCATTTATTATTTGACGTTTGTTTTTTCTATGATGGTTTATGTCATGTTTTACATGTCCATATGTGTGCTGGTTTTTCTTTACTTGCAGGAAAATTATCAAAAACTTGAAGAGGAGATGTCTGCACAGGCGGCGACAGACGGTCAATCCAGCTCCTCCTATTCCGATAATGGGAACATGCTGGTTACAACTGCAGATGGATTCAACAAGAAAGGAAGGGTGGTCGGGCTGGGAGGATATGCTAGCCGACTGAAGCCTAGTAAGCGGCCCTCTACCCAGGTTGACAGTGTTTCTGCAGGTAAACTCAATGCATAGTTAATTCTTTTATGTTTTCAATCTCTATTTTATTAATATTTTATTTTAAACATTTAACTTACTGTTTATAATAATGTATTTGCAGATGAGCTTAAAAGGATGAGGGTGTCCCACTCCTAGATTCAGGAGCAATTGCATGCTGCGACAGAGCAGCTAAGTACTCAGCAAGCGGACTTTATGAAGCAGCAAGCTGACATTATGAAACAAATGCAGGAACAACTCCGACTTTTAATGCAGGACAAGGAAGCCAACTGCAACAAGTCGAAGGGACCGGCGCCGGATGATGACCCTGATGATGATGATGACTTTGCTAGGACTTTAGAGGCATACTAATTGTTGTTTGTATGTTTTACTTCTTTTAGGACTTCAGAGATGTATCAGATATTTTTTGTATGTTTTATTTTGTTTAGAACTTTAGAGACATTTTAGTTGTAGATTTGATGGTTGTTGTTGTTCACTTTTGTTGATATACTATTTAATTTTAATTTAATTGTTTATCCAGTATTTTTTTGGATTTCTATTGCTCAATTTATGTATTTATTTTCATTTGGAATCCTTGTTGTTTACAGGAAAATTAACAAAAGTTTAATACATTTTTTTTTAATTCCAGAATTTGTGGCAGAAATTTTCAAAATTCCCTTGCAAAATTCGTAGCCTTTTGCGAGGGAAAATCAAAATGTTCCCTTGCAAATTTTGCAACGAAAATTTAATACAACCCTTGCAAATTCTGCTACAGAAATTTGCGAGGGAAATTATACTCGCAATTTACGTCGCAATCTGCGACGAAAAAACACTGTAGATAGGTCTGTTGTTCGCGAGGGAAATTTAATTTTTTGCAAGGGAACCTTTTCGTAGCAATTTGCGAGGGAATTGTCATATGACAAATTTCCCTTGCAAATTTATTTGCGACGAGGGTTTTAGCAAGGGACAGTGATCCCTCACAAATTCTGTCGCACACAATTTTTGCAAGGGAATTTTGCTGTTTTGCAAGGGAATTTTTCCCTCGCTGATTGTGAATTTTCTAGTAGTGGGTTCACATCGGATCCATGACCCTAACTACAAAAGAAAATTAGCCATACATAACTAGCTTAAACAAAACAAAGAAAGAAGAAGAATCAATGTTGCTCAGCTCCTTCAAGCTCCCCTCTCTCTGAAATCTCCAACTCTGGTATCCGGTGTTCTCCTTTTTCCTATCAATCTGCTTGCCTCTGTCAAAGATGCCTTCTAATTAAGGTTTTTACTCCCTTATTTATAGGAAAGAATTCAAATCTCGCCATATCTTTATCAAATATTTGATTTAGACTCTCTTTTTTTATTAAAATCCGATCACTAAGATACTGGATGCGTGGCATCCGCGTGAACCGCGCCAATTCCGTGCGATTAACGCGAGAAGGCAGTGGGATTCACCAACTTCATTTTTTTTCTTGGCGCGATCTGCGCCAATGTTGCGCGATTAGCGCGGTCATATTGTTGTAAGCGTGATGTCCTCTTTTGCACACATTTTTCTCCTGTAAAACACATAAATTCCGTGAGAGTGTGCTAAATGCGAATTATCAATAATTCTCATAAATAATAACGTTTATCACTGAATTACTATCAAATTCTTGCTCTTTTTATCTTAGAAACCTCTGTATGCTGGAGGCATATCAATGCTCCCTAAGGAAAGAAAATAGGTGAATAAAGCTTTTTTTCAAGACAGCTCCTTAAGCTGTATTGGAGTCATCCAAGAAGGAGATATAAATATCGGATGAGTATCACGAACCAAGTCCATAGAAAATTCTATCTCTGTCTATCTGGTGACAAACGAGAAAGCTCTTCAGGAAAAACTTTTGAAACTCACATAACTACGATATATTCCTGATTTATTTCGGTTACTCTCATATCCCTCACCGTAGCCAAGTGTCCTTCATATCTTTTCTTCATAGTCTTCTAACATCTGGCACATTACCTAAATAATAATACTATTCACATATATTTGCATGACTCTTTTAGGATAGTGTTTTGAGAACATAATTCCACTGATGTTAGAATATTGCCACCCATGTTTATTTACACCTAAATCTCCTCGCATTTGCACAGTTTTCATTACTTGATAACATTTGGTCCTACTTTATTTTCTGCACACCTATATCCTAACCTCACGCAGATACGATCCCAAACTAATTTAGAACAGTACAAACCAAGTTCCCAACTGACATGAGATTAGCAATATTACATCGGGCCAAACTCGACGAGTTAGTCCGAAAAATCAGACAACTTATATGTTGTGCTAATAAAATTGAATAAAAAAATTTATTTTGACTTGACCTGGTCAAATTTTGAGTTTATCATAAGTGTGTGTTTCAGTTATTATTGTATCCAATAACAGGACACATTTGGTGGAATCCGCATCACTTATTTTTACGTATTCTTTAATCTGGAATGTTAAAAAATGCAACGGTCTATTATGCTAGACACTGGCTCTAACATCAGGTGGGACATTACTAAATCAAACCCTTCTGTTGGTATGTATTGTAAGAGGAAAGTAGATACATTCCACCAACCCTTATTTTCAATGGAAGTGCTTAATTGATCAGTGTCCTTATATGATGATAATAAAAGAGCAATGCACAGGTTACTAAATGATTCTACCAAACTTTCATAAAATTTCACCTAGCTACGTACTGTCAATTGTTCAGTCACCGTCGCATGATACATGAATACCCTCTCTCTCTCTCTCTCGCTATATATATAGAGGTAGAATCCTTTGACACCTCATCTGAGAGCCATCAGATCAAAAAAGATCAATGATGTCAAATGCTTACTTATAAATCAGAGTCGTTGATCTTTTTTGATATGATGGTTCTCAGATGAGATGTCAAATTTGAAATTTGACACCGGTGTCAAAGGATTCTACCTCATATATATATATATATATATATATATATATATATATATATATATATAAGTATAAATTACTCTCTTAGTTTTAGCTTTTGATCTCAGTTGTATCTAAGTGCTCTAGCTAATTTATTAATTATATGAATTATTAGATATAAATGAATTAATAATATTTAAGAATAAACGTAAGATTTCAAGATTTCTTATCCTTATACATATATATAAGTTAATCATCCACATACACACACAATATATATATATATATATATACTAATTAATTTATATATATATATATATATTTATTAATTAATTTATATCCCAATTATCACTATGGAAATCTAGAGCTATTAGACATAAATTAAGTTTGTCCCTTTTTTTTGGAGTTAACTCAACCTTTATTACCTCTTTAATTAATTTATTCCAATTATCACTATAAAAATCTAGAGCTATTAGACATAAATTAAGTCTCCCCCCTCCCCTTTTTTTTTGGAGCTAATCCAATACTGATTACTTCTTTGAGGCGAGTTGACTCTCTCCAAGATTTCCATAAACTTCAATTCTTTGAGTCGGCTATGATTAAATATTTTCCAAATATAACAGGTAGATAAGAAAACAATCCAAATCTGAAAATGCTGAATTTGGATTGTTTACTTATCTACCGAATGCATAATACTGTTAATTTCTGAAAATGAAAAAAGAAAAGAAAAAGAAAGATAGATAGTTCTTGCATAAAATGAACTTAATTTTACCTCTCCGAAATCAACATTCCCAACAAAATGGGTGAATTCAAATCCTGGAATGCCAAAGCTTATTATAAGGAGGGTTTTTTTTTTTTTCATACTTAACAGTTAAGGCCTAACATGCATGTTTTGGTCAAGAATAATTTTCCGTTACAAATTGTGAGAGATAGCATTATTGCTATTTAGCCTAGGTCCTATATATATATATATATATATATATATCTAATAGCTAGTCTAGAAAAGTCGACCATAATGATCATAGGTACGTCAGAAGACAGAGGAACCAGAGAGTGAATCATTCACCAAATTAAGTATGGTATCCCAGTAATGCTTATTCTCATCGAGGTTCACGTTACAGAAACTTCCATTCCCGTTGATGATAGCCAAGTTTTCTTCAGCTAAGTTATCATTGGAATCGTAAACCAGCGCATGATCATCATTACTATTATTATTATTGAGGCCTTCTTGGACGAGGACAGTGCTAGGAACAACAATATTATTATTGTCGTAACTTGCACATGATCTAAATGCTTCCACAGCCGTCATGATGTCATCGTCGTCTTGCAAGTTCAACATTATTGTGTTGTCCATTCTCCTTTCACCTACCTCTGCTTCTTGGTTCTGCTTAGTTAAATACTTCCATTGCTCACTACTACTCTCACATGTGGCTGAACTACTTTTCATAAACTGATCCATCATGGCATTAGTGGTGTTGAGAGGAAGTAAATTTTCATTGAATAATCCAATGGTGTTGGTGTTGGTGTTTGTGTTGGTGTTGGTGGTGGTTGAGATAGGAAGCAGAGTAGTACTTCCAGGGAAGCTCAAAGTGGACGTTGGAGACTCGAGGCTGTCATGAGTGGATAGCATCATGGCGTACATGGTTTGCATCATCATCTTGTTGTTGTTGTTGTCTTTTGTTGTTGTTGTTGATGATGATGGTGATGGTGATGGTGATGGTTGTGGCTTCAACAACCATGAACTTTGCCATGCTTTGAGAACGTCAAGGCATGGTGGTAACGATGGTTGTTGTTGCGATGTGATTTTGTTAAGAACAAGGCGTGGTATTGGTTGTGTGGAGGAGGAAGAGGATCCAAGCTGGTTCTGAACTTGCAACTTGGATTCTCTGACCAATCTAGCTTCAGCTTCGAGACGAGCACTCTCCCACTGAGCCATGTGGCTCAAGTTGGCTGCATCATTTGATTGGCAGCTCCCGGAGCCACCAAGGACATCGGTTTTTGGTTTGTGGGTTGCAGGGTCTATCCCCATTCTTGTTAGCCTTTTCTTGAGGTGTGTGTTCCAATAGTTCTTGATCTCATTGTCGGTTCTTTTGGGCAGTTGAGCCGCTATTGCTGACCACCTATCACACAATATATTCAAACCACAAAACAAGAAAAACATTAATCATATATAAATATAAATATAAACATATATGATATATCTATATGTTCACAACTTTTTTTTCTTATTTTTTACGACTCTTATAACTTGAACCAGGTATTTATATTCCATGTAATATATAATTGATCTTCTAAGAGTTATAAACAAAAAAGTTTAAAAATGGCAAAAAAAATTTCTACTTCTGAAACTTCCATAGCAAAAAATTATTAGTTCAACTGATGAAGAATTTATTTTCCTTAATTAAAGATTTCAAAGTTCAAGGTCTAATAATCGAGAAAATAATTTTAATAATTAATAAAAGCATAATAACATTATCCCTATACTAGTCATGAACTTTCTTAGCTAGCTAGGCCATGTAATGAATATGGATAAAGCAAAGGCTTTGTTATTTTTGCTTTATATGGTGGTCTATGGGGGAATGAATGTTTCAATGTTTCTACTACTACTTGTGTGTGCTCACCTGTTTCCAAGAAGGGCATGAAGTTGAATAATGGTTTGCTCTTCCTGCAAGTTGAACTTTCCTCTTTTTATATCAGGTCGGAGGTAGTTAGTCCACCTCAGTCTGCAGCTCTTCCCACATCTTTGAAGGCCTAAAAAAATTAACAATGAAGCTTAATTTTAACCCATTATTTAATTTCCTTCTTCAAAACACACCATATTACATAAAAATATATAGATTAAGCAGCCTATATATGTACAACATGTCTTAATTAATCAATAAATAGATGAAAAAAAAAAAACATTATTGTGCAATAAAATAATTACCAGCTTTAGCAGGCAATGCACGCCAGCTTCCATGGCCAAATTGTTCAATATAAGCCATGAGCTTTTGGTCTTCCTCCGGAGTCCATGGCCCTTTTTTCAACCCCACCTTCTCACAGCATGGTGACCTACCCATTTTTTTTTAGGCTCTATAACCAGTCAATGGAACGTTGAGGTTAGTGTTTTGGAAGGTTTTCTGCAGTGAACAAGACAAAGAAAAGATGGTAGGACGAACAAGGCAAGTTCAAGGAAAAGTAAGCTAGCAACGTTATATATAGAGGACAAACATTAAGTACTGTTGTACGAATATGTTTGTGAGTGAGGTTTTCTATCTTAATTTTGCCCAACAGTATGGGATAGAGAAAGTTACATAACGAGTCGAGCGTAATATGTTTTTCCATTTATGTATTTGGAATAGATGTTCTCTCTAAGTTAATTTTACTTTTGAGATTTATTTTTTATTCTATAATTATATTTTTTATCTTTTAAAATCTATCAAATTAGTCTATACACCTGACACTATTAATTAATAATGTTAGCAAAATTTACCGACATGGTATAGTTATATGACTGACAGGTCTAACTGGACTTTTCTTTTTTATATAAAATAATGGTTAAGGGTATTTTTTAAAATATTGGAGACAAAAACGACAAAATATAATTATAAAATGAGAATAAAACTTAAAATTAAAATTAAGAAATGAGAAGTAAAATTTAAATTACATATATATATATATATATTTTCTTTTTGGACTTTTTTTTTATTTTTACATTAAATCAAATTATGATTATTTCTAAACATTTGAATTGAATTAATCTATGACAAACAAGTAACAACTAGATTTATTTAATTTTACAGTACGGTATCATCATTTCAACTTTCACGTTAACAAAAATTAATTAAGTTCTTCTCCAGTCACAATCGCACACTGCCATGCCGTGTTGGTATGCTGCATTTTGCAAAATTAACAAGGGATCTTATGAAGTCCTAAATTAAGCTAATTTATATTCAAATATTAATGTAATTTAATATGATTTTCAACAATCAATTTATATAAAAAATGATGATTCATTTTAATTAATGGACAAATGTAAATTAAAAAAAAAAATCATAAGAAATTTTTCCTTTTTTATCTTTTCACTTTCTTCAAGTTTCACCTTTATCTTATAATTATATAGTACATTTTCTTCTGAAATATTTATAAAACTCGTCAAATTAGTCTCAATCAATGTTAATAAAATTAGACCGATCTGGCCGGGTTGACCAGAAAATTGGTAAATCGGTCATATAATTGATTCGAGTGAAGCAACGAACCGGTCATGCGTAAGAACCAGTGCGATCCAGTCAATTTTTGTGAAAATCGTGACCCAATCGATTAACCAGTGACCTGGCCTCAAAAAAAAAATTCAAAAAAAATCATAATAAACATATTTGAGTATTTTTTTGCTTATTGATTTACATAGGTTATCTACCTACAACACTAATAATATCGAAACTGTGACCAAAGTGACTTTTTGGCAAAAATTTTACCCAAATGCCACGCGAACAGTACTTTTTATCAACCTGTCACGTGGCATAATTCGCTACGACTAGTAACAAATTATGTTCGCCAATGATTTTGTGACATGTGGCCATATTGCAGACCAAATTCGCTACCACTGATAGCGAATTATGACACATCAGCTTTTTCCTGCAAAAGTATACCACGTGTCACAAAATCATTGACGAAAATAATTTGCTACCAGTCGTAGCGAATTATGCCACGTGACAGTCTGGTAAAAAGTATTGTTCGTGTGGCATTTAGGTAAAAATTTTGCCAAAAGTGGCATTTTGGTCACTGTTCCAATAATATCTCAATTATGCACTATGCAGAAAATTCTGATTTGATTTATTGCTAGAAATGTCGTTTACTGAACCTGAAGTCCCATATCACGATCATTATCTTTTTGTTTGATCCTTTATTGGATAATAATGTTTGATTTATTATTTTTTATATTAAAATATTTGAAATTTTTATCATTTTTTTAGATATTTAAGTATGTTAATAATTTTTTAATATAAATTACAGAATTGCATATAATTACCGGGTCATGCGGCTCAACCAGTTACCCACTGATTGAACCAATGACCCAGTGACCTAATACCTCGATCGGGTCAATGATCGGGCCGATTTTAATAACATTGGTCTAAATCACTAATTTTTTAAAATTGTGCACTTATGTTCACATATGATGCCATCTCACCAAACTCCGTTAATTATTTTATGGATTAGTAATTGGGATTAATTTGGTGGATTTAAAAGACTTGAGACAAAAATAATACGTAATGTAATTAATTGTTAAGCGAAGATGAAAGCTAGAGTCAAATTAGGGAGACCTATTTTTTTTTGGTACATTGCCAGGAGGTATCCCCATTCAACCTTCTCCGGGCACCATGCCCTCGGGGTACGGCCCGTTTGGGCTAGCCCCTCATTGTAACAGTGGGTGCACTAAGCTTCGCAACCGAAGAAAGGACGAGACTAATCCCTCAACCGAAGATTTTTGGCTTATCCTCGGGCTCTCAAAGATTTTTGATCCCTGCACCAAGCAATCCCTTGGGAGCTCAGCTGCCAACTGAGCTACTCTTGGGGGTTTAATTTTACCTATTTATTAATGATATTTCGTATAGTAAAATTTTCAAATAATTTTTATACTGATTAGCAATAATTCAATTATTAGTCTAAAAAGTGTACAGATTGGCTCCTAATTTAGTATATGTTCCTATCTTATTAATAACAGATTACTAATTCTTTAAATATTCTATAAACCTTTTTAACTAATAATTAAATCATCTTTAAGGGGTACAAAAATGGCATAAACAATGTGATGTACACGAATCATTTTCTTTATTTATAATTAGTTAAATTTGCAGATAGAATTTCTATCCGAATATAATTTATTTTGTCATTAATGTTATTTATAGACTAAAATTTTCAGACCATTTTCACCACACTAATGTTCACTCAATTATTGACAAAATAAATTATAGTCTGTATAAACTTAATCACTCAGTTTATCACCATTTTCAGACTAAACTTATACACTTTAGTAATCAGTCATTGTTAATTAGCATGTATGAAAATAATGTAAAAGTTTATTTACCAAAAAAAATATATAAAAGTTTTGGATAATACTCCTCTAAAGTGATTTGTCTCAAAAGTAAGTAAGTAATATTAATTTAATTTAATTTAAAATGTGTCATAATCTTAACTTGCCAAAATTTAAGGGTGATTTTTTAAGATATTTGAAACAAGAACGAAACAATATAATTATAAGACGAAAATAAACTTATAATTATTTACCAAAAAAACAAAAATTAAAAAATAAACTTATAATTGAGTCATGGTAAACGGGTATAAAATTGGCATAAATAATTTTATGATCATTAATTCTGTTTGCACCTAAATTTCCACACCATTATGATTTGTTTTTATCATATTCATGTTATTTACATTCCAAAAATTTCACCCATTTTACACGCCATTAATGCAGAAACGATTGCTGATTAATAAATTTATACATTTTGCTATTAACCAAAAAAGGAAAAATATACATTTTGCTGAATTAAGACTTGTCGCTGTCTTGTATTGCTGAACTTTACACGGTGCGAATCCGTTAACGTTGGATTTACTTTGGTGGGGTTCAGGCCTGCACTCTTATAATATATCGTATTACGATATTTACTACTGTTTGGTAAAGCACATGAATGTAAGTTTTCAACAAGAAATACAGTAACGTGCTTGTTTGTTTTTATGCATTATCATCTCACCGAGACTGACATAAACTGTCATAACTCTTCTTGTAAGATTGACAAGCCTAGCACCAAGAAATTATCATCTCATCCTCCAGTGTGTGTAGGGACTGAATAATGGGGTTTTTATTTTTTCTCAAAAATTATATTTGAATAAAAAAATTTAACTAAAAAAATAACCGAGAACCTGTTCGATATTTTTTTTTTAGGGAAATGTTCAAACCCCATGTACTATTGCTTCCAATACTTGCATCTATGTGCTTTTTTTAATTACTTAATCTCCTGTAATTTTTTTCATTCACATTTATTCTTAATACTGTTAGAAAATTAATTAAATATATTAGTTCTACCCTTTTTAGTAGGGGTGTTCTTCAACCGATCCAAACTGATTCAAACCGCGGTAATCGAACCAAAAAACCGATAACCGAATAAACCGAAAACCGAAAAATCGAAAACTGATTAAAAACCGCAAATTTTAATTGGAGTGGATCGGTTTTTGGATGGATTGATAAAAATCGATCCAATCCAAACCGATCCAATCCAAACTGATCTAATATATTAATTCCTCTCTACCTACTTTGGTCTTTACCTAATCATAGCCTAAAAATTCTAAACCCATTAACCCATCAACTAAACCCAAGAAAAAATCTAGTCACATCTCATCAACAAAATTTTATCTTTGTAGAGCTTCATATTTCATTTCCAAAAAAAAAAAACTATATTATAGTTTATTAATGCTTTTGTATTTCAAAAAAAAAAAATTTACAAAGCCAATATATACAAAAGATGTTATTTACACAATAATCATGAAATAAATTTTAAGATTTTCAAAAAACCGAAAACTGATCCAATCCAAACCGAAATTTTTTTGATTGGATCGGATCGGATTTGAAAAAAAATCAAAACTGAATGGATGATTATATGATCAAACCGAAGGAATTGAATCGGATGATTTTTGCTTCCAAAATCGATCCAATCCAGATCGCGAACACCCCTACTTCTTAGAAGAAGAAAATAAAAGGTTAAAAAAAAAATAAGACTAAATATTATGAAAACTTAAAACACTTAATAAAAGATTAAAAGAAAAAATAGCAAAAAAATCAAATGTTTCTAAACAAAAAAAAGTAAATAAATGTATAAAAAATAAAATAAAATAAGAACAAAAATAGAAAAAAAAAGATCAAATATATTAAAAATCACAACAGTAACAGAAAAGGCTAAAATTAAAAAAAAAATAGTCCAAATAAAAAATATATATATACTAAAGACAAAAACTAGAAGAAAAAAATTAAGATAAAGAATAAAATAAAAAAGAAATCACTTATGAGCTTTCAATATTTTTTTTT